CGCTGCCTGACCCGCCTGCTGTTGGGCGCCGTTGTTGCTTCCGCAGATGAAAGAAACGATCATGAACCAAGAGAAGCTCGCCAAACTGCAGGCCCAAGTGCGCATCGGAGGCAAGGTAGGAGCCGCCCCCGCCTTCTGCCCGCCCTTTGGGTGCACCAGGTCGAGCATGAGGGGTCCTGAAAACTGGGGTGGGGGGAGCAGCCCCGAGTGCCGCCCTGCACTGGCCTCAGGGGAAGCTGTGCTGCCGCAGGGATCTCGGGAGTCGGTTTAGCAGAAGCATTAACTGAACCTCCAGCCTTTTTTCTTTGGGTTTGTTATAATGTTACAGCAGACTTTCAGCCTGTGTTCTTGTATGGGCTACTTTATAAGTCCGGTAAGATTTGAAGAGAATAGAGCTTAGGTATAGCTTTCGTAAGAGATTGTAGAGGGCCGCAATCCAAACTCTCCACAGTAATAACGCCAAGATGCCTCTGGCTGTTCTTTTGCCTTTCAGCACAAATTTGGAAATTTTGTGCTTGTAATTGTAGACTAACATGATCAAAAGACGTTTTTATTTTGTTAGAACCTTTGAATGTATGTAGCTATGTGATTACTTGTAGTCTGAAAATAAGAAAGTGTGTTTAATACAGTCCTATGGTAGCAAACGTTTTAGTTACAGTGTTGAGTTTTAAAGAAACAGTTACTTAGTAATTTTTTTATACCTGAGAAAGCCTACACACAATATTTTAGAATACAAGTTATTCATCAGAACTCTTGCTCACAAAGTTTCTAAGAGCTTTCATTCCTCTGTTGACTCTTTTCTTGCATTTAGTTGGAGGTTTAGGCAGCTTTAATTCAGGGTTAATCTAGTTACTAACAGGCTTGGTGATTTTGTGTATTCTTTGTATGAGTTACTGGTTAAGCAGAGAACTGCTGTGTTATATTGATGACTGTGTGAATATTACCAGTGTGTTTACTGCCTATAGAGGCTTTTAATGTTTGTCTTGTAAGAGCATGCATTCAGATTACAGCTCTTGCTGCTCTCTGGTCAATGTAGCTCTTTTAGAGACGTTAACCAAAGCTTAGAATATACTAGTGGTGCTTTCATTAAGTTTTAAAATTGGCCTGTAAAGTACTTTGAATGCCTGAAGTTGACTCTTTAAATTTTATTTATAACTGGAAATTATTACTGGGATTTTTCATGGCATTGTCACTGTCTAAGTTGAGATGGGTGTGGAGAAGGCAAAGGGGAAGGAGTCACTCCTGATGAGAAGAGGCTGCACGTGCTTTTGCTAGAATATTTTTATCGTGTTGCAAGACTGCAGATCTTACAAAAACCCTAAGTACAATGTTTAGGTTCAGGATTATTTAGTATTTTGTTATGCGAAATTTGAGATTTTTAGGTTGCATATAACTACAGATGAATGTTATGGCCCTTCTTGCAAACCTTTTTAGAGTGACAGATGAGCCTGCAGTATTCCATTGGTGGCCTGCTGCACCCACCCCTCTTTGTTATAGACGGGTGTGAACAGTATGTCTGAGCATGATCGGCCTAGAATTTGTGTAGTAAAAACCTGTAGTCTTTAGAAGAGTAAATCTGTGGACATGAAAGCAGCAGCTGTTCATTTAAATTAAACTCAGATTGTCTGAAGTTTGATACCTCTTTAATATGGGTGAGAAGGAGGTGCATGTTCCTACATAGTCTTTGTTTCGAGACATATTTTGAAATTTATTGAGAAGTTATTTCATCCACGGTGACTTCACGTATGCCTTATGTGGCTCAATTCTTGGCTAGTCAAAGTAGTAAAATTAATCCATTTCAAACTGGTGTGCGTGCTAACCTGATAGTAGGGAATGAATCAAATCAAACTTTATATATGTACTTCTGAGCTGTAGTCTTCCAAGTGTTAGTTTCATGTGAATTTATCATTAACATTCCTTATTGTTTGTAACCAGATTATGATAGGTGTTAGCAGCCAGCCAGTTTTATAATTTCTATGTATTAACTCAAAAGGTATTGCAGCTATTTATATGGCTGAACAGCAGCACGTTCTCTTACTGCTGACTAGGACTGCCTGAGTAGGACTTAGTACTTACAGTGTGTCAAAAAGGAGCTTAGTTTCACTTATTCCTAGACATTTTATGTTGGATTTTGCTGAAGCCTTATGATTGTACAAGGAAGTATAGAATGACACTTCCTGCTTTTTCATAGTTGTAGGTATCTTCTGATATGGAACAGTTATTTCCCTAGTGAAATCTAGAGCTCTGTTTCTGCAGGGGAACTTAACCTTTGCTTGTTTAGCTTACTAAATGGAAGTGGTCTGGAGTACTGTGTAGAAGTATTTTTAAAAATGTATTTATAAAATATTTTTGGAAAATAAAGTGTTCTTCAAGTATGCAAGTCCTTAAGATGAGAGAGTTTGGAATAAAAATTGAGTATTTTGAGTTTTTTTGTACTCATTTGATAATGATATGTTAATAACTTTATGATCTCTGACTATGAGCAAAATTTGGCTACAATTTAAGAAAGGTGATCTAAGGAAAAATTAATAAGCTTTAGAAATTACATAAAATTGCTCATTCTTAAGAAAGAATTGTGGAATAAGCATTCTCTGATGCGTTGCTTTCTAAAACCTCGTGCTTCTCAAGACATGCAAAGCTTGCTTTGTAGCAAGGGAGAGACAGCTGCAGTGCAGTTGAAAGGGTGGGGTTGTATGCACCCTTAATGAAAGTAGAACTTTGTAGGTTCAGTTGATTTGCAGTTGGCTGAACAGCAGTTATACAGCCTTGAAAATCAGAGTTTTTGAAGAACTGCTGAAGTATTGGTTTGAACTTTTTGGTTTTTTTAAAAGGGTACTGCCCGCAGAAAGAAGAAGGTTGTTCACAGAACAGCTACAGCAGATGACAAGAAACTTCAGTTTTCGTTGAAGAAATTGGGAGTCAACAATATTTCTGGAATTGAAGAGGTAATTACTTCAAAGGGAAAAATAGTTTTCTATATAGAAATAGAAAAGATATAAGAATCAATTTTCTGGTAAGTAATGTCCTTAAGTTGTTTACAAATTATCAGTAGGTCTTTGTTGAGCTTTAAGAACTTCGGTTTCGTCTTAACTTGAAAAATCTTCCTAAACTACTTCAAATACTGGATTTTTTTTACTCTTTTTTTTTGCAGGTAAACATGTTCACCAGCCTAGGGACAGTCATTCACTTCAATAATCCTAAAGTCCAGGCATCTCTGGCTGCTAATACTTTCACTATCACTGGCCATGCTGAGACAAAGCAGCTGACAGAAATGCTTCCTAGCATCTTAAACCAGCTGGGAGCTGACAGTCTGACCAGCCTGAGGAGATTGGCAGAAGCCCTACCCAAGCAGTGTAAGTTGAAACTTGAATGTTCTTCATGGTGGCAGCTGTCACAGGGCTTATCTGTATAGCAGCAGTGAAACTCAGTGCTCTCTTGCTTTCTGCAAGCATATTATAAAATGCTTACAAAGAAACCAGACTCTTAAGTTCTTATTTATAGTGCAAATCCAGTGGTGCGTATAACTGAATAAAGCAGAGGCACCTGTTGGCCTATCTTACAGCTGATCTAGTACTGGAAAGCTGTAGCCAAAGTTTATTTTGCGGTAGTTTACTTCTTGGTGAGGCTTCTGTATTTTAACATGCCTCATTCGTTAAATCTAGGTAGATGAGTTAGTCTGGAAGAGTTAGATTAAAAAAAGTGTGTCTGTTTTGACACTTCGGATGGAAATGCAAGTAATGGGGAGAGGGACTGATGGGCATACACCTGCTTTCCTGCCTCACGTGTAGTGGTGGTGTTTCTGCGTGGGCTTTTTGATAACTAGGAAGGAATTTGTATTTGTAAGGAAGTGTGTTATAACTTCAGTATGTGTCTAGAGAACAGGACTGGCCTGAGCATTAATTAAACTAGCTATACTGACTTCCTTTTCCATCCTTTAAATCAATAAAAGAATGTGAACACTTCGTCCAAAAACTGGGAAAAGTAGAGAAGGGGCTTAAGTACATGGTGCAGCTTCTGCTGCAGTGGTGAGAATTAGGGGTGAAAGACAGGCTTGTTGACAATGAGAATGTTACTTTTGTCCTGCATGTATGGTCTTTCTACTTTTCTGGAATATTTTAAGCCCCGTCCTAAACACAGAGAAAATGGAAGAAGTGTATAATTGCGTTCAGTTTCTGGTTGTTCTGAACTTATGCTTTTGTTTGTGTTTTTCTTCCTGTGTTTTGCTGCCAACAAGACAGCCTCTATTTCTGTTCCTAAAGTGGATGATACTTCTGTCTTGCCAACTTCCCACTGAAAAAGTCCTGCTAGAAGTATTCTTCATTTGATGTAGCTCAGGTCCTTCCCTGCTAATGTCACCTCTGTGGCTTCCTTGTGGTAGTAGTAGTGCTTGAAAGAAAAAAACCTTGACGGATTTAGGGTGGTGGTTAGCTCAGTCAGTTGAGCATAACGCTAACAACGCTAAGGTCACGGGTTCGATTCCTGTTCGGTCCCCATGTGTTGCCTGATCTAGTCCAGAGGTGGCGTCCCTGGCGGCAGGGAGGCTGGATTAAAACGATCTCTAAGGTCCCTTCCAGTTTAGGCCATTCTATGATTCTATGATTTAAAATGATCTCTGAAGACCTTGCTTGTAACAAAGTGGATGTAATTCTGAGTAAGCTAAATTGTGCAGTTTTAATACTAGGGAGGCTTGTTTAAAAATGCTTGCTTCATATCACAGAGTAAATGGCTATTCCTTTCCACTTTTGGGTGAATGCCAGAATAGTTACACTAAGCTTTCTGTTCAGCATAGTCTCTTTCTGCTGGATTTGGAAGCCTGACATTGAACAGTGAAGTGTCTGTGGTGATGGTATTTGCAGGTGCTAAAGTAAACTTAGTCTGGTCTTGTGGATGAGAGAGAATGGAGACAGCTAAGCAGGAAAAGATCTATTTGACATCAAGATGCACTTAAGCTGTAGCACCTTTCTGCTGTTGAAAAACAAAAGGAGGGTTAATGGTCACCTTGTCTGAAGCCTTTTCAGACCGAAGTTTATGCATTCATCTGGTTTGGTTCTCTAGAAATCAGTACAGAGTTACTATGAACCTCTTTCATGCTGATTTTCTTGAAAACTGAGAAGAATTAGGATAAAACTGAGGTGATAGAGAATATGAGAAGCTTACCCTTGATAGTCCAGCTAAGAATAGCAGTGAAAGTAGTGGCATAGGCACTCAGGGATCTGAGATACCTGCTCTTAGCATTGTACTGCTGAGTTCAACAGATGCTCATTGGTCTCATGGTTAAGTCTTGCTAGCTATAATCGGAATGGGTAAGAAATTACTGAGTCAGCAGAGATGTGGACCAGGACATGTGGTTACCTCAGCCACCTAAGTGTAAAATTGTGCATGCAGTTCCATATTCCTCTGACTTTGCCAGGAGCTATAATTTCTTTAAGTACCTGTAGTCATGTGTGTCTGCCTGCAGCTTCACAATTACACCTGTTTTCCTTGAAGGCCTAGGATTACACAGTCCTTTCTTTTCCTTAAAATTTGATGGTGTAGAATCTGTAGACCTTGAGAAGCACGGACCACTAAATAAACCAAGCTGCTTTTAAGAGAAGTTGGTAAGACCAACCCCTCCCCTCATACCTGAAAACAGTTACTGTTCAAGGCACTCAGTGTACCTAGGTACAAGATGGTGACTCCTGAGGTGGTTTCTCACACATATTCTCATTTCCCTGCTGGGCTTTTTGTGCATTATCAGTACCAAAAAGGAAATGTGAACTCCCTAGGTTTGTTAAAGATTTGTATTGAGCAAGGGCAGTTTAGCTCAGTCTTTGATTATGTTTTCCAGAAACAAAGTAAGTAATCAAGATGCTTATGGTGAGCTTGACTAATGCTTGTGAACTACTTACTCTTGCAGCTGTGGATGGAAAGGCACCACTTGCTACTGGTGAAGATGATGATGATGAAGTTCCTGGTAAGAATAAGCATGCAGTAGAGGAAAAGAAAGTGATCGTGGCTGACAGTTAACATGTGTAATATAAAATTTGGCCAAGGATGGTAAGAGTACTAACTAGTCACTGGCTCTCACAGAATTTCTGTGATGAGATGATTTAATTATTTTCAGACACCGTGAGAGACTTACTTGTTTGAGCTAGCTTTTTTTGGGTGGAAAGAAATAGCTATGGCTAAGATAATTTAATATTCCATAAGAAGGGTGGTAAGAAACTACCTTCTCAGTATTACTTTGTCCAGTGGTGCACATAGTGAAGTTAAATGCTCTTAGAACGGTGCTTTAAAATGAACCATCCAAAACATACTTGGTCGAGCAAGAAGCGTGAACTATGAAGTTCTTTAAAGTTTCTTGGTCTGTATTTTATAGGGCAAAAGTTTTTTATGCTGTAAGCACTTGACATAAAGTAGAACTTTGGAAGAAAAAATAAAACATTTGGCAAAGTGGGTCAAACTTTTTTAATTTCAGCATTCTTCTTTTTCCAGATCTTGTTGAAAACTTTGATGAAGCTTCAAAGAATGAGGCAAACTGAAAAAAGTTTTACTTTCTGAATAAAGCTAAACCTTGAAAAAGCTGTGTGGAGCTGCTATTTTATATTGTGACTGCTTTGATTTTATTTTTATTTCCTGATGATATCTCAAATATCCTCCTGTGATATTTGGAAACTCCTTGAACCTGCAGCTCTTTAGTTACTGCTTGTACACAATATTATTTTTGTGGCCTGATTGAACAAACCTATATGCTGAAATAAGTACGATTGCTAACAAATGTCTGCCTAGACACACTTTTTGAGAAACTTGTATACAAGCAAAACCCCATCTTGAATGAACTTTGGCATACAATAAAAATATAAAAGAAACTTTCTGGTGTGGCTTCTTGTCAGAAAAACAGGAAAAAAAATGCTGTAAATGTTATACAATCAGAAAAGGTCTTGCTTTTCTGCAGAGCATCCTTCTTTTGCTGTGTTAGAAAACTGGCATCTGCAAAAATTTTCTGTGCGTAATAGAGCATTTTGGACGTAATTGGTGAATTATTAGTGTTTGCATGTCAGAGCTACATAGCTCTAGGTTGCTTTGTAATCTACTGAATTTAAGAAAATGATTTGTATTCTAGAAACAATTATTGGTGTTTTAATATAAATTGTCCAAGCTGAAAAAGAACTTTGGCCATGTAGGACAGTGGCAAGCTGTTGACATCTTGGGGGAACTAGATACTAGTGCTCAACTTTTGTCTTTGGGGAGTGTTTAATAGGTATTTCAAGGATGTAACTATTCAATGAGTTAAATAATCCTTTCCCAGGGTTTTACTTATCTGAAAATGTCAGGTGGTAGAATTAAGTATGGAAGAGGAAAAAGCCTTAATAGAATTGATAATGGCTTTAAATAAATCTGTATTTGGCATTTTCAGATCTATTAACTAATAATTATCTTTGGTATTTCAGGAATATGTTATTTCTGTTGCTTTTTTGTGTTCCAGAGAAAGAGAGAACTTGGGTTTTGGGCACAAGGAGGACTTTTTAAAAGACAGCCTGACCTTTGCATGGCTGGAGTTCCAGGGGTGAGGGCTAAACTTTGTGTTTGGGAGTCTTTGGTGTTAATGACAGATAAGATCACTTCCATAATAGAAGCTAAGCTAGGACAGAAGAGCACTCAACTACCAGCTCTCTGAGGTGGTCTCTAGAGCACATGCTTCTTGAAGTGGAAATTCATCCTGACTTGTGCAGTATAATAGTCAGGGTCAAACTTCGCCATAACAAAATTTTCCTTGTGCCTGGGAAAAGGTGGGACTGTGTCAGACTTGCCAAGCGTGTTTGTCATGATGTAAGCCCTTGCTGCAGGGAAATAGTGGAGGAACTTGTTTGAGCTGTGCAACCCTTGTGGTTTGAGGTAAGAGCAGTCTGATGTGAGCGTGACATGGCTGAAGTCAGGTACAAGAGCAACAATTCCAATTTACTTGCCTTAGTTTGCAAGTACTTTTTATCAGTAAATTACACTTTTAGCATTGAATTAATTAAGTGCATTCACTGAATTATGACAGAAAGGTAGAAAAACGAAACTGACTTTTGAAATGAGAGCAGAGCTAATTGCTCTGTAAAAGGTGAAAATTAAATTCTACAGAGTTGCTCACCACACTTCTTGTGACCTGTCAAGTCAATAAATGTATGCTGATTTATTTGAAGAATCAATAAATGTGGTGCATATTCTGTGATTTAAATATGTAGGTCCTCAGAAATACTTCCTCTAAGCCGGTGTAGCCCTGGCGTATGAAATGTTTCATACTGGTTTGTGTCTCATTAAGTGAACTACTGTCTTGCTTAGATAATCTAGATGGCATAAGCTTTTTCCCCTGCTAACAGACATACTTGGTGCTTAAAAGATCCTTGCTAAAACAGTGTCTTTGAAATACAAAATAATTCTAATTCAATGATAAGCAGCCATGCGATGTGTCACGATGTGTCTGTGGAAGTCTAGGTACGCTACCAGTCAGGAAATACTGGCATAACTCTCTGTATCCCCAAACTGAGGATGAAGATATGATCAAAATGTGGTTTTGATTGTAGCAGATTCTAAATTGAGAGTAGTTCCATGGTCGGAAGTTTATATGCTTAGTCCTGGACTCAACGCTGTGTTTATTTCCTTTCCATAAGCAGTTTGGTTTATAGTCTTTTAGTCTGTCATTAACTGCGAGAAACTGAAAATAATTGTGTTGACATTTCTCATTAGTTTGAAATTCTGTGTAACCAAACTGTAATTATGCCATTACGGATCACATCTGTAGTCTTGCTCAAGGAAAGTGGCTTTGTATCTCCATTCCGAATATCTTGGACTATGGAGACACGAGAAAATATGCCTTCATTTCTAGTGAAACAGGGCTTTGTTTGAGCTTTTTATTTTTAAGGGAATATTCGTTTGTCGTATGGAACTTTGTAACATTGACTCCAATGCAATGGTCAGTACTAGTAAGATTTCTTTCATGAGTTTTGCAACAGACTTGAAGAACTCTCTTAATTGTTAGTCTCATGCTTTGAAGGCTTTGCTTTGGATTAAAATTAGTATATTCTAATTTAAAAAAAAAATGCTTTTTGGAAGATGGTGAAACCCAGTATGGTGCATAGATAGAAGTAAAAAGCTCCCTACTATGGTTTTAAAATAACAGTGTTTTTTAAAGCTCTAGAAGGCATTTTGAGTTATTATAGGTTAGATTTTCTTTTTCTTTCACATCTCATGATTTTGAGGCTATGTTTCTCAGGAAAAGCTACCAGTGAAAATTTCACACTATTATTAGTGCGTATTTAATACATGCGACCAAGGATGATCACTTCAGTTGGTTTAAAATATTCACAGCTCAATACCTCAAATACCAAATTAATCTTATTACCTCATTATGTTGATTTGCTAGGGCACTAGGGGAAGTCCATGTAGTTCTCACTACATGAAATTTTGTGCTAATAAGGTTTGTTTGTGGGTGTAATGTCATACAGACATCTCACCTTCCCTAAAGCGGTTTCTTGTACCTCTGCTGAAAACCTAAATGTCGCATTATGGCACAGATGGAGTAACAAAGGACAGTGGAAATTAAGAGAATAGCTTGTATTTGTTGTCAGAGGTAGAGGAAGAATTAAAAGAAAGCCAAGATACAATCAGAACAGTGGCTGAGGGAAAAAAAGCTTGAGTGTGTGGCTGCTAAATGTGGTGGGAGGTGAGTGGAGGAAGCTTAATGTTTTTCAAGGGAGATGATGGGAATGATGCAGAACATCATATACTATTTGTGAGAAGGATTTGTACAAGTTGCGAAACTAGGGGTTTAATATTCAGCACAGACAGAAAAGCCTACAGGGACGTCTGTGTTGATGACGAGATTACAGTCTTAAATGACTGTTGTATGTAAATAAGAGACATTTAAACTAGGTATTTTGAAGTATTAACAAGTACTCAGAATTGTCTTGGCCTTACATAAGTACATGCAATGTGGATCTTGTTTTTTCAAAGCTATTTTTTGTTCCTTTTCAGATCTATAGTTTCAGCTGCATACAGCAATTTCTGAGAGTTGCTGAAAATACTTTCCATTGAATGTGATAGTTGAAAGATCCTGACCCTGTAAGAGAGACTGAACTCTGCAAGGAAGTCTTTTTTTTTTTTTTTTTCTTTTAACAGAAAAGGAACTGACATTGCAGCTGAGCCAAGCTTACTTAGCTAAGGTGAACAGTCTGTGTCGTGAGGGAGCATCATTATTAGTTTGACAGAATTGTTTAAAGATGGTTAAAAAGAAGATGCATTCAGAAGCTCTGGGAATCAGGAGTATAACTATTTCTGTGTATTCTAATAAACTTTAAGCTGTGGTTTTTTGGTGGCATAAGCTACTTGCAGTCTCATCATGAAAGTCTTTCATTGCTCTGTTAATGGTCTGCCTTCGCTTCATGGATGGATTATCATTGGAAAATAATGTTACTCAATAGAAGGAAGACAGCTTATGTGTAATACTGTTACTGTACTGTTCTAGAGGTCCCACAGAAGACTGGTGAGGAGGACTATAGGTGCGCTCAAGCGACTTGCACCTGAGCTGTCAGAAAACACATCACGCTGGATCACTGCTTGGCCTCGTGTGCTCGACCAGCAGCTCTGCCTGCGCCCAGATAACAGAGGCCTGGGATAGATGCGGGGGCCTCTCCCCAATTCCCACCCTGCAAAGCTGTCCTGGGAGTCCTGGGAACTCAGGCAGAGCAGCCAGTAAGACATAACAAAGCAGTGGCACAGATCCCCCACGCTTTCTAGCCAGGAGAGATCTCCCTGTGCCTGTGCTGCCGCTTGGCGAGCTGCTCGTGTGATCGCTGCCCGGGTGCCTCAGCCGGGTGCTGCCGCAAGGATTCTCCAGATTGCCAGGCAGTCAGAATAAATCTACTCTTTGCAGTTCAGCTGTGATTTGTGGTTGTTCCTGTGCCCTGCCTGTTCTGGCCCACACAACTGTGAGAAATAGATTTAACAGGTGCAGCTTATGTATTGTCTTTACATTGCAGTGGAGATGGTGTAATGGCATAAGCACTGATAATTATTTTTATAGCGTGTGTCTTACCCCTTATGTAGACAGAATTCTAGGACATGTTACTGCTATTCAGACCCTGGACTGGTTAAAGGTCAGTTTGATCAGGCAAAACAGTGCTTTTCCTTTGGATATCCAACAACCAGCATTTGCAAGACTTTACTCACACAGCCAGGGACTTGAAGTGCTGTGCAGGATATTGGTAGATAATGGTGGAAGTATCTGTTCTACTTGAAGTCCCTGTTCTACATTTGTGTTATGTAGGAGTAGTGTTTTGGTTGGTTTTCTATTTTGTTTTGTTCCTGCCACAACTCTCCCAGTTTTTAGGAGACACCTGAAGTTGAGTTGAACAGGTCTCACTTTCTCTGGTTAGAGACCTATAGAGTTATTTATGGAGCTGCACCTGAGTTAATGATGCCTTGTGGGTTTATGCTGGAATCTCAAAAACTTCAGCCATGTACACCTGAGCCGTCTTCTGCTTCGTAACCAACACGGAGCATGTGGCAAGTATTTGCATGTGCTTACTATCATTGGACTTAAAATAGTGCAGTAAGATTAAGCAAGATTCGAAGGTGTTGGAAACATCTACTGAAACAAGAGGAGCTCTGAGTTTAAGCCACAGCTCCAGGCATGGTGGCTAGTCCTGCAGTGCTTTCCTGTTATTTTCAGTGACCACATCAGGCAATTGGAGAGAAGTAACTGAGTGTGGCTTGAGCATCAGTTCTTCTCTCAGCAGTTGGATTTTGTGGGCTGCTGTTTTGCAATGAATTCCCAATAACTATGCAAAAGTAAGACTGCTGCCACCTTCAAGGACCC